ATCTCCAACTGGAATATCGAAACATTAATCTCCGAGGATAAAAGGAGGATCATACATCAATGTGAATTCCAAGATACCTGTCTTACGAGGCGATTCTCGCGGCCTCGGTTCCGATCCGTCTCACACCGCATGGATACCAGCTTGCTCTCCTTTCTCGCACAAACGAGCCTAAGGAATTTCTCCCTATCCGAAACTCTCCGCAACTCAGCCTCATAGCGGAGCTGCTCGGACTTAAGCCTGTTGAAGGCCTGCGAAAGAAATTCAATGAGAAAGGAAGAGCATGAGACCGGAATAACCCTACGACAGCTTCCAAAGCTTACCATAAAGCCGAGCCGCTGAGCCTCGCCAAAGGCTGAGCCAATGTTCGGTGGTTTAGTGTTCCCCAAAGCACCTTTGGTGTGGACAGAAGCAGGCACCACGTGCTCTTCGCCCTTCAAAGTACCTTCAGCAGAAATAGGGAATGTTCTCCCGAAAACGGAAGTCTCTAAAGCTGGACGATCGGTCGAACCGCCTCTTTTGAACCGCTGAAAAGGACTCGCCCCGCTGCGGGCCTCCTCACATCCCGGATACCCTTTCCGTTTATCATCGACCCTCGACTCAGAGGTCGGCAATCTCTCCTCCTCCCCTAGTGGGCACGGCCTCACCTCAGAAAAATCTCCAATACCTGCGATGGTCAAGTTAGTACGCCAAAAAGGAGAGTACCACTTTGGGGAAATAAGCCACCAAGCGCCTACCATGATGCTTTGCCTCCCATCTCCCGTTGGACAGGTCTCGCCACCTGCACCTATCATGGGTCGAGCAAGCTGCCAGCTTACAAGATCATTCGGCCAAATTAGGGACCTCGTCCGGCAGCCAAGGAGTCGCTACAACAACAATGCGACAGAAAAATAACGTCATGGAGCCTGCCTCCGGTCAAAGCGATAGAAATACAGGTACGACACTTACGTGTGGAATTCTATTTCTCAGGAAAGGGTAAAAACTCTCCAGGAATGATATCGATTGTCCGAGCACGAATGAAATGGCTCATCCATCCCCGGTCATCATCCTCACCATTAGCGGTGGGAGACCGGGTGGATCGACGCTGCAGAGCAATTAAACCCCGATATCGCAGTGGCCGGTATAGCCTCATAAGATGGCTGAGGGTAAATTTGAGCCCGGCCTTATCTGCAAAGTACCTTATCGTCTGCACTATCTTCCAAAGGGACGAGTGAATCTGCGCCAAGGTAACCCGGTATCTCCGACAGAACTGAAGCATGACCCGATCGGGGGGACCCGACGCAAAGGTATGCATATACACGCTCAAAAACCCTTCAATATAGGTCATGATGCTCTCCTCTGAAGAAGGTACTTGTAGTACCACATCTTCTCCTCATCCGTAATCTTTTCTGATCATTTCAAGGTGTTCCTCCCCTATTGATGAGATGAACCTCGATGCATGCTCCCGATGTGCTTGAACGTTGGGGGTTTTCTCCAACGTAAAGTGTTTACTCGAGATAAAGTTCCTCGAGGCCCGTACGCCGGGTACCGGCGGTGTACCACCGACCGGACGCGGGACAGAGGCGGAACTCCCCTCTCCTTGATGAGCGGATGTTGACGTAACATTCAAGGCTACGATAAAATAAGCAGAGGGGATATAGATTTGGACAAAGATTTTGGGTCGAAATGACAGAAGAACTACCACAAAGCACCAAGTCATACAGAAGAAATAGTTACTCAAAGTAGCAGAATCTCCACTTGAGAAGCAAGTAGAAAAATATATAGGGCCAAAGTAGCGGCTGCTCGCCTACCCAGAGGGCCAATTAATTCTGGCCATGTTAACGTCACCCTTTTCTTGGGAAATGTACTGGCTAGGCCACCCCTATGTCACGACCCCAGTTCACCCACCGTGAACATGTCGTGATGGCGCTAAGTATCTACAACTAGGTAAGCCTAACACTGCGGAAACATAACTAGCTTGCGGAATAATAAACAAAACTGAACAATTTAAAGGAGAAACAGTAAATAAAATGCCGCTCGGCATATACAACTCCACATCACACCATCCTACATTACTATCCCAAAACCCGAAAACTCACGGGAACACAAGCTAAGAGGAATACAGTAAAGTGCTCTAATCTCCAGAAAAGTCTACATCAATAGTACGATAGAAGGGCTAACACTACAGATAGAGTAAAGAAGGAGACTCTTCGGTCTGCGGACGCAGCAGATGTACCCGAAGTCTTCGAAACGGTCCCTGCCTCAAGGGTGATACGCCTGGGTAGAAGTACCTAGATCTGTACATGAAAAACATGCGCAGAAAAGGGCATGAGTACACCACAGCGGTACTCAGTAAGTGCTAAGCCTAACCTCGGTTGGGTAGTGACGAGGAAGGTCAAGGCCCTACTGAGGTTATATAAGAAACAGGTTTAACAGTGTGAAATGACAGTGTAATTAAATAACACATGATATAAAGGACCACAACAACTATTACAAAGGCAAGCAAAACACAGTGAAAGAACATAACTCAGCTCCGAGATAACAACCGGGGATCCCCCAGGATACCGTCCTGTAGTCCCCAAATATAAATATCATGTCCAGTGGATCTACCGGGTGTAGTCCCGCAGTCCAACTCATAAAGTGCAAGGGGGATCTCCCGGAATATAATTCCGTAGTCCCAAAGTAAACATACAGGGGAGCTCCCGGGATACCGTCCCGTAGTCCCAAAATAAAGTGCAAGGGGATCTCCCGGAATACCGTTCCGTAGTCCCAAAGTAAATACACAGCAACAACAAAATTCAATCCAATCAATTTCATATCAAAGTGAAATAGGTAATCCTAACCTAGCATGATTCACGTAGTACAATTAAGACAGATAAAGCAATTTAGTCAAGTAGACATGCTTCTCTAAGCTACAACAGGTTTAATATCCAAACAGTGTAAGGAAGGAAAGGAGGAACACAATTCAAGGCTATTTTTAAAGAAAACCGGACTTCCAACAACTTAGCACAAGTAGCGCGCTCGTCACCACACGCACGAGGCATTTCAATTACCACAATACCAATCCTAAGGGGAAAAGTCCCCCACACAAGGTTAGACAAGCCACTTACCCCGAACCGGCTCCAAAA